AACTTATGTATTATAAGGCATAAGTCTAGTTTCAGAATATTATGGTTTAAGAAGTTCACAACCACAAATTATGTTTTATAAGTGCATAACTAAGCTCCTACTCAACTTATGATGCTCTCAGAGGCATACATTCAGTTTCAGAACCTTATGCCTTAAAGAGAACTTGAGAAATTCGGTCACAATTAAGAATAGAACCTACAACGTTGGGTTTTGGACCCGAGCACAACACAGAGGAAATGCACGTGGGTCTCCTTGAAGAACGGAGTCTAGGGTAAAGAAAGAAAGATAGAGTCGGAACACTTTTTTGGAGCCCAGACACGAGGTCTGAATATTAAGAATGAATCATAGTTCAAATTACTTAATCTATTTCGTATTTCAAATATTGAAATCTGACGAAGTAGAACCATCACTAACAAGATAACCAATAGATTAGGAGCTGGATGAAATTTTCAACTCGAATAACCTACTTGATGTGTTTCCTTATGAGTGAGTTTGTAGGTGCCCTTGCTATCCTCTTGCCTAGCGGCAAAGATTTACCTCCGTGGAAAGGTTGATTCATTTAGATGGACATGGTCTTATTGCTTGTAGGTACGACTATGTGAATTGACAACAATACACCGTGGTATGTGTGAGTCAACATTTTACTTAGTGATTCTTTTTGACTCATAAATTTTCATTAAAATTAGAAGGACGAAAATTAAAGACTAACTTGAAATCGGGGCATTCCGTGCAAAACTTAAATCTGTACACAATGTACAAATAGAGTAAACTTTATATTTAATACGGAAAGGGTCAAAATTGCCCCTGAACTATGTGAAATAGATCACTTATACCCTTCGTTACATTTTGGGATAAAAAAATGCCCCTGCTGTTATCCTAAGAGGCCACATATACTTTCAAGAGTTAATATCCCATATTTTTATTGACTTGGCAAGCCATGTGAGACTAATCCTTCCACCTAAGCATTGCCAACTAGGATTCATTATAAAAGAACTAGACCTTTAGAGGCGATAATAGTCATCAGCCCAAAAAATCGTCACTAAAAGTTTTTAACATTAAATTCTAATTTCGTGTTTTTATCTTTATTACTTTTAAAAGGGATAATGCACAAGTACCCCCTCAACCTATGCCC